AAAACTGGCAGAGATAGGTCCATAGTTACTATTGAACTTGAATAGGAAGTCATATACTGGCAATCTAAGTGTGACCTTGAAATTGACCTTTGACCCACTTTTTATCATGAACTGAACTCTGCTAATTTCTTTCTCTTTTAACTCCAAACCTGGCAGAGATAAGTCCATAGTTACTATTGAACTTGAATAGGAAGTCATATACTGGCAATCTAAATGTGACCTTAAAATTGACCTTTGACCTTCTTTTCACCATGAACTGAACTTTGCAAATTTTGCTTCCCTTATATCTCCAAACTGGCAGAGATAGGTCCATAGTTACTATTGAACTTGCATAGGAAGTCATATACTGGCAATTTACTGTGACCTTGAAAATGACCTTTCACCTACCTTACGATGAACTTAAATTTGATTGTACCATTTTTAGTTTCATATATTTTTTGCATATATTGAAAATTCTTGTTGATTGCATGTTAACAGCTTGTCAAGCACAAGACTGGTGGCTGTGTCCCTTATTTTGTGTATGTGGGGGTCTATACGAATGCGCTTGCTCCAGCTGGTGGTACAATATTCGGAGGCGGTATCGCCTCTCTGATCCTCTAGTTTAATAATGATAGAGCACTTTGGTCATTTATGAGCAGTTAATGTAGTTTAGAGTGGGATTCTACGGACAATAAAGCAACTTCACTAACGTTATGCATTGCTTTCAGAGAAAATCTTCTGGCTAGATTTTTCTACACTTGGATGGAAAGATGCAAACAAAGTCAAGAAGTTAGACTTATGGAACGTATGGTAAGTAAAATATGATAAGAGTGTAATTTATGGAGGCAATTTTTGAAGTGTATAAAAGGGTAAACATTCTATATTTGAATGATATTTGGGTATTTTATTCTTTTCAGGCCATTTTACATGACAGTGAGATGACAACACGGAGATTTTTACTGAAGTGGAGAAATGCTACTAAGGAGAGGCAGGTGGAGATGAAGAAAGAGGTACAAATATGCTGTGATTGCTTTAAATAGTTTTCTTATAGAGACAGATAAGAAATGGAAAACACTGAAAACTTTGTGGTTTGCCACTGTGTATATCAGATGCTTGGGTTTAATAGTTGTGTATGTGTGTGTGCGTGTGTGTGTGTGTGAGAGAGAGAGAAATTCATTTACAAACTACATTAACCATTTACTTTCTAGGAAAATGCTCATGATCATTACCAGATAACCTTGATGAGCCAAGCATTTGAAACATGGAAGACATTTATAAGGGATTCTAGGAAAAGGTAAAGGAGTTGATGTCTGTACTCTGCATATGATGAACTATTGTTATAAGGATTTTACACTGTATTAAATTCAATTACGTAAAAAATCCATTTTGATAATTTTTTTTGAGGTTTTTGTGTAAAATACTGGATATTAACCCCACTTCTAAATGTGGACTGTCTGTTTCAGCTATGAATCAGAGAAGAAGGCTGTGAGATACCATTATTTGAAGACCATGGGAGTGGCGTGGAAGGGCTGGAGGAAGGTTGGTTATATTTCCATTAAAGAAGTGACAAATATATTCTTTAGATTTTTTTCCTTTGTTTTAAAAACCAAAAAGATGCAATTCAGTAAGTGTTAGTTCTTGATTTATTGTTAAGGAAACCAAATTCATACCTTTCAGATAGCAAAACAAAATTAAATCTGTCATGGAGTTGGATTTTTTATTGTTATTTTAGTACATTGGCTATGAAAGAAGAAAGAAGACAAAGCTGCATCGGGCAGTTGTGTTTCACAATCAGAAAATTTGTGGCAAAGTCATAGGGCATTGGAAGGAGTACTGCAGACGTGCTGCAGTAATAAATGAAGAGGTAGAGAGGAGAGCACAGATACATGATAAAGAGTTACAAAGGTCAGTGAATGTAAGATGCAGTTGGTGATGTACAAAATGTCATATATATATATATATATATATATATATATATATATATATATATATATATATACAGTTTGAAATAACATTCATTACAAAAACAGCAAAAATTACATTATGGAATCTAGATCAATAAGTTAAAAGCAATTAAGAACATTAAGAACTACATGATGATTACAATTGTAACGAAAGTGGGTGAAAAGTTTGCCTTTATCTATTTTAGGAGGTGCCTGATACAGTGGCACAGGAATGCTGTAGAACAGAAACAAAACAAACAACAAGAAGCCAAAGCAGACAAGTTTCATGGACATATCGCTTTGAAAAAGGTACTTTTTTATCAGCATCCAGACTACACATAAGTATCAGATCTGATTGTCTTATATAAAATAATGCTGTCTTATATAAAGAAAATAAAAGAAAAGGCCTGTGTTAGATATTAATGACATCATTTAATATTCTAGCTTATGTTATAGGTCTTCTCTGCTTGGAGAGAATATGCAAATGTTCATGCTTATGAACACAAGAAGACTGCAGAGAAATTTCTGTCTGCTCAGCAACATCTTGGTAAAGGTAAGGTTATTCGTTGATTTATGGTATTAGATAAGTACAGAAGGTAAAACAGATATGACCAAAATTGAAATTTTGTAAATAAAGCTATTATCCAACTTGTTTAGATTTGTTTGCATTAAGAAGTAACTTCTTAAAGATTGGACCAGAGAAGTATTGATTGTGACTATTTTGAAAGGTCTTTATTTTTTTTATATCATATATTTGATTTCATTCAGTGAAACTACACCAAATCCTAACTAGATGGTACCAGTTGAAGAATGAAGCAGTGATACAGAGACTGAAGTTCCAGCAGGCTGTGGAGCACCATAACAATACACTAAGGATGAGGACTATGACTGTGTGGAAGAACTACACAGTCCTTTGTCAAAAAAAACTGGTACAGTGAATACTTTTTCTTTCTTTTCAGTCTTGTTTTATTTTGCAGAAAATGACCCATCTTTAACTAAAGCAGGCACAGACAGTTAATCCTTTAAATTTGCTTTTATAGAAATTCACTTTGCTCAGGGAAAACACATAAGTACACACATACTCTGTTATTTATTTATATATATAATTTGGGCTACAAGCCTATTTCCCTCATCTCCATGGGTTTGACCTAGGGTTATCAATATTTCTCAAGTCCCCTCCTCTTGGTGGAGGGTAAATCTGATAAATCATTCGAAGTCCAATCTCATGTAGAGAGGATGTTTAATCTGAACAGAACTTGGATGTCCTGAAGCATTTCTTTATTTTAGAGTGTAATAATGATATTATGATTAAATTATATTAAAGGATATGAAATGTCAAATTTTTTAAAGTATCACAACAATAAATGTTTATGGATTTTTATACCAGGGGTGAGCGCAAGGCTATGTATTCTTCCATTGATATCATTTGTTGTTTTATTGATACAAAATTTTAATATTTTTTTCAACAAAACATGCCCACATTGCTTGACCTTTCTAAAAAAACTTGTCATAAAATATTACTCATATATTCAAATCTCTGTATTCTTTTTATTTACTGTTTCAGCTCCTTCAGAAACAATGCATGTGGTTGTACACCACAAGGCTCACTGCCAAGTTCTTCCTCAGGTGGAGGGCTCAGTTTGCTGAGGCTCAGGAAGATCACACAAAAAACAACATGGCACTTTGGCAGTGGAGTTTTGTACTACAGAGAAAAGTAATTAACACATTTATGATCTATGCTATTAAATTCATTGTGTAGCGATTGGGTGATAACTTGATAAATGTAAAATTTGGTCACTTCATGGTTATTTCTCTTAGAAAAAACTCAGGTTAGTTCAGCAAAGAGAAAAAAGTCCCTGGGGTATTAAGATAGGCTCCATACCCTCTGCTCAATTCATCATTTGAAATGCTGAGATATATTGAATACTGGAACATATTTAGTAAAATTCACCACCTAAGTTACATTATTAGAGGGATTTTTATTTCTGATTCTAATTGGCCTGGATGACTCAAAACATTGAGATGTATTTTTACAGTATAGAGTTACATAGATAATATGCTGTGTAGCCCTAAAGAATGATTGATTTTAGTGGTTCTTTTGTATTCCAGGTGTTCCTGGCCTGGCAAACCTATACACATGAGAGGCAGAGAAAGAAGGCCAGGATTGAACTGGCCATGGAACAGCGCAGATTACGCCTCATCAGACAAGGGTGTGGTCAGTGGTTAAAAGTGGCCACAGAACTGAGTGAGGTCAGGTCCAAATTGGCTGCAGAGAGACAAGCACAGGTGAGTCATTTTGGTGTTTAGTGGACAGGGATGAGGTCAGTGGTAGAAAGCTGCCATAGATGGGCAATGTCTAGTCTTAACTGACTACAGAGAAGCAAGTATAGACGAGCCTGTAAACTGAACACTTTGGGTATTACTTATATTCAATTCTAACCGAAATTCAAAAATACTGTTGGGAAGGAAATGTGAACACTTTGGAAAAAGTTTGTGATATATGTTGGACATAACATTTGTACTGTCTTTCAAACAGTTTGGAAGTAATATCTAATCATCTTCCAGACTGCATACAATATCTATCAGCTGGTCCACAAGTGTGCCTTGCATTGGAGACAATGGACAATCAAACGCAAAGCAGCAAGACTGAAACGGGGAATAACAAGTGCCCCTATACCTGGGGGTGAATCTAGCACAGGCAGAAATGCTCCTGCTAGGCCTCTGGAAAAGCACAGAGGAGTCCCAGGTTCTAGCAGACCCACACAGAGTGTGGCTTCACCACTCAGGAGTTTGAACTTGCCTGGAGAACACCAGGCTGGAGTAAGGGCATTAGAGAGGTAAATTAATGTGCTGGAATGTCTTAGGTCATATGTTGTAGAAATTCTAAAATATATTGTTTCAGATGATGCTAAAACAGGTTTTATATATTTGGTTTGATAAAAGTAATCATAAAACAGTTCATATGCTCAAGACATAGAGGTTTTTATACATGCATGCTCCCATACAAATAATATATTTAACTGATATATTTTACTTATTTTATATTTTGTCTGCTATTTATTTGTTTTCCCCCTTCATTTTCACTTGTTCTAGTGCTCTTCTGGGACCCAATGTGATAAGACCAAGCAGACCCAGGCCTAGAAGACCAGACTTCCTCATTGACTCACTGAAAAGAGATGGTTTATACCACCCTACACCACAAAAAGCAACACTGCACACGAACAGCTCTCATCCAATGACTGAGCCAAGCATACAAATGGCTCTGAAAGGATTTTCTCCAGCCATGGCAGAAGATGAAGAGTCACAGCTACAGAATGTGCAACCAACTGTGCTAGCTTCTCAAGAACCAGTGGGGCAGCCCGGTATGATACCCAGGACAGATAAAGACAATGGGAAACCTGATGCAAACAATACAGGTGTCTCAAATATTATAGCAAAGGGCAGTAGGAATAATGCTTGTTCCACTGCAGATGCAGGGATAAAACCACAGATTCACCACCAGCCCTCCTTACCAATGACATCTTCATCGGGACCAAAATTACAACAGAGAACAACAGCACACAAACCAAGTGATATTCTTATGACTCCTGCAATGTTCATGACAGCGTCAAGTGATGGCTCAGAACAAGCTTCACCACAAAGACCTGTGCTGCCATCTAGTAATTTAATGACGGAAGCATCTGTGCTGACACCTACAAAAAAAGGGGTGCAAATACCTTTGACGCCTTCAACTTCCACGCCCAAGAAACATAGTGGAAAAGAAAATGGCAAAATGCTTTTGAAACCTGATGACTTTATTCAGTCACCTCCTGGGGCACATAAACTTAGTAAAGAACAAGAACTTACAGATATCAGAAACAAACTGCAGGAATACAATGATAAGAAAAAGAAATTGAGGTGAGGAATCTATCATTTCTTTGGAATAAAAAACTAAAAAATTTGGGCCTTAGCCATCTATGAATACTGATGGATCAAAGAATATGAATGTCTTCATATCACAGGCACCCATTCTTATAGATAATAGGTCAAGTCACGAGGTGATCCTCATGAAATTTGTTATCTATATCAATCATTTTTTTGTGTCCTAATGTGATAAAATTTTGAGAACAGAGGTAAAATCATCCAGTTGATGTTATTTTAAAAAATTTGCTCCCTACTGATTTTTAGGTTGTTAAGAGAGCAGGAGGGGCATTTAAGAGAGTGGCTTGAGGAGCAGCAGAGTGATGGTAAAAGTGTGGAGGAGGAGGATGAAGATGTAGACCAGGTGAAGGAGGAATTAGAAGAGGTAACTAAAAACTTCAACCATCTCTTTGACTGGGGTTTACAGTTACACACTGCAGTGTGAATACTCATTCTTTGCTATTCTTCCTACTAAAATAAAAATGTCAATTTTGAAATAGGTATTTAAAGAGATTTGTGTCACATTTCCATTTAGTTATATAGGTTTACTTCTTAAGAATGAGCTGGATTGCAAATTTTATAACATATTGATATTTGTTCTTCTGCATATATTTGTTTCACTTGTTTATAAATTCTTTTACCTCTACTGACAATGAAAATGTGATGTGTTTGAAATTTACTAACATTGAGTTTATTGGTTTTATTTCATGTCAGTAATAGAACATGTATTTTCTTTGATTTTTATAAAAGAATCTCAAGGTCTTTACCTTTTTTTCAGATTAGTAAAGAGATCTCAGAGTTTACGCTATGGTTACACAAAGAAAGGAATATTTGCCAGAGACTAAAAGAAAGAGCCAAGAACATTTTGGCAGAACTCCAACAGATAATCTCATGATTTGTCTGAAGACATTTTGAAAAGCTCTCAAAACATGGTGTTTTTGAAAAAAAATATTGGACAACTGCTTTTTTATTCTCTGTCTAGTCCAAGTTAAAACAATTAGAAACATAAGTTTTCATTTAATTAAATGTAAAACATGCTGGTAGAGTACGTTTATCAACATCTGGGAATGGCTGGTAATAATAATGATAATAATAATAAAACATGAACGATCTTTATAGGCATGGTTTGTCCGAATAACCGACCAATCACAAATGGCACAGAAAACGGAAGACAGTAACTTGTACCTATTGTGGGCAACTACCGCAGGACTAGCATGGTGCAACCGCAAAACGGAGGCGTATCCATGGAGGTGGGGTAGTACTTCCGCGTACTGCACCAGATGCATAAGATTTGCTTTGATATGCATGGGTTAATGTTACAAGTTTTATACGTTTTACAGCCCCATAAATCAGTTCAAATTAATTTTTTAGACTTTTTATGAGAGAGAATTCTCTGAACAGTTTGAAACAGCGAGGCGCTTTTTTTCAGACGGGTGACGCACAGGATTTTCAGATGTCTTTGGCAACAGATTGGAAGAAGCTAAGCGCTTCACCATGAACTTTTTTATGCTCAAAGAATAAAATGTTACAAAAAAGGAAATGTTACAAAATAATTGAAATTGTTTCAGTCTGTCATTAACCGAATGTTAATGGGAATGTCACCTCTGTCCAGACCTGTCATAACGGCACTGATTGTGTTAGTTGAGACACAACACAATTCGTCACAGTCACGGGATGAGTCATGATTGCAGTCCCTAACCTTTACCAGTATAAAAACTTTCCCCATACTAGTATAGTATTCGAGTAACACCTTTTTAAGTTAAATTCTGACAGTTGAACAGGTATGAGTGAAGGTTGGTTGCCTCTTGGCCCTTCGTGTGTGTTTGCCTCGGACAGAGAGGAAATCAGCATGACGAAGATAAGACGGCGACACAGATCGATAGAAGAGCTGCACTAGACGTGGAGACCTGCCAAAAGCTGGGGGAGTTAATCTTCTGTAACACTCCAGTCTGTCTAGATAGTTCCATTGAAGCGATCATTATACCATCGCATGCCTTTTCACTACTTATGAGGCCGAAAACGTATAAGATATTTAAGAAATGAAAACTTTCAAGATAATAGAGAGTAAGAGAGAAAACACGGTAAAAACAAAAGAGCTAACGAACAATGGCATAAACAAGGTTGTAGATTTTTTATTTAATTTCTACTTACTTTTTTTGTTAATTTTTGACGGGTGTAAACATTGATTCTGGTGAATGTTGACCCGGTCAAAGCATGCTGTAAGTTTTTTTTACATGGCTGGGTAGAACACGTCCCGCGCCTGGCTTCGCCATGACCCTTTATGACACGTACGTGCTGACAACAAACCTTTAGGTAATCATCACTTCAAAGATGAACATTGCATTAGGCATTTGATTTCATTTGATCAAAAAATAGATCACGGTTTGATGGCAGAGAAATGCGTTATCTCACACAAACGTCATCCAACACGGTGTTTATTATTACTCATTGAACTCTGAAAAAGGGAGAAAATTCCTCTTACACAAATATCAAACATTTTGTTTCTAATACAGAAATTTCGTCTTTGTAGACCTCTAAAATGAATCGTTATAAAGCATATGCTATCTAATTCTCGTAGACCCCTCCCCCTTCAAAGAGTTGACAATGAAGCAGTGAAATTTTATATATAAGATAATAGCCAAAAGAGAAACTATAAGATAAAAGCTAAAACAAAAACTAAACAAAAAAACTTTTCCTTTTCACCCACGCTTTACTTTAATGCCATCAAATTTCATTTCTCCTTGTTGAACTCAGATAGAGTCAAGAAACATTTTTACTCACACTCGTCAAATCTACAAGTAGTTCTTCGCAGTTTATTTCTGCCCGTTGAACTCTGGAAGAGTCGAGAAATATTTTCACTCACACTCATCAACTCTAGTCCTCAAAGTTTATTTCTCCTCGTTGAACCCTGCACCCTCTACTGTGCCGGCATCTATACCGGCTAGGTGACGGAGATAGTACACGGCCGAGGTGGGACCAGGGTAAACAATGGCATACTGCCACGGGTGGTGAAAATATCAGAACTCCGTGGAAAGCTTCTGTCTACAAGTGCTTTCTAATCACTGCTTCTGTCGGCTTCCTCTTTCTTGGGGAACACAGCCCAATATCAGTGCAAACCATCTGAACAAAAATACGTGAAATGGTTTTTTGTAATCAGAACGGTTTGTTCCAGTTGGTTCTTTGAGTTTTTTTATCGGTTTTAAATTTCTTTGAACCAGGAAGACAATGAGGTGTTACACAAAATCTGCAGCGATACCCTAGGTGTTGGTAAATTATAGGCTTTGGATTTTTGCATAATCAAAAATTTCTTAATTTCAAGTGGCCACTCAATGTGACCACGAGATATAAGTTTACTATGGATCAGGAAGAAATTGATGTGCTACACGGAATCGTGCTGTGCATCCTCCTTGTCGACTTGGAATCCTGGAGGCTCGCATATGACAACTAACGACTGGAGGCTATGCATATGGAAGGTCCACAAATAAGTGCAGTTTTCTCCGGTGCAAGATCTTATTTTCAGCATCATCATGTTTTTTTTTCATTGTACGAAAACATTGTAGTGCTATTTCACCACAAAAATTGTCAATTCATCTCCCACTTTTAAACAAAAAATACCGACAGTGTACGTTGATGACCTATCGCTAACCAAGTAGCAGTTTCAACACATAACGCGCCTCCGAAAGTTGAGCAAGAGCGAGGCGCCCCTGTCATAAATTGAAGTAAGACATGCAAACACACGAAGGCTTGCACTCACTGTTAAAAGTCTGGTTTATAATAAATCCATCTTCACCCCTAACTATGATACCTCTGCCCAACAACATCACTCTAAAAAGCATCTGTCGACCCGCGACTGTAAACACATGCGTTTCCAGACAGAAAGATGTGAAAATGGATAAGTGAAATTGTCTTGGATAGGCTCAATATTAACTCGTTAATCAAATTTGACGAAATAAAATGATGGTAAGAAATCAGGAATAGGACAGTCAAACAAAAACAGTGGCCAATTTAATTTCTATTTATTATCTTTTTAGCCGTATATTCCAAGTTAACAAACCCAGCAACTATGCACCTCTACCTGTTATATATTTAGCATTAAACAATGCTATAAATCGTGAATGAAAAAAGTTTTGTTTCATTCAACCTCATCGTCTGTGTAAAGTCTCCGTGTCATAAAGGTGGCACTGTTTGTTTTTGGCCGATCATATAGTGTCATAAAGCTGTCTGGGCTGTCTGCGAGGCCCTGCTGTCGTTCCCCGTTATTTGCCGTAGGTCACCGCGTGTCAGCTGATGTTAGGATACTGATAGCCTTCCAGATATCAGCACAGTCTTGTCATTTTATTCCCAACCTGTACACCCTGTGTACTGCATGAACACGTTCATGCGTACCTGTTCATGACAGTAAAATTTTTATAGATAGTCCGAGTAATAAAAATTCCACATATTACAATAACAGCGATGTTTTTTTCATAACCCCGCAAGCAAGGGCGTTAGTACATGGAAGTCTCTGTAAGCTAGTTTTTACAACTATATATTTTAGCAGGTTGTGGGAAATAACGCTCGAGCTATGAACTGGTTGGTATATATCTAGCACAAGTTTCTTACAATTTTTCTTCTGATCAGTAAATTGACATGT